ATGAATGATTTAAGAAAAATTCATCCTATGTATCAGTTTTCATTAAAAGGTAAATTTGTCAATAATATAAAGAAACAAAAAATTAAACACGTTTTCTTTTAGCATTTAAAATTGTATTTGCAAAAGCAATTCAAAAATCTGAAGAAAGTGATGATGTTAAAGTACGTGTACTTAATTTAATTGATTCAATTACATATTCAACATCACTGTATACAACACGATCTTTATTTGAACAACATAAACTTATATTTACATCTCAAATGGTTTTTCAAATCTTACTAACAAATAAAGAAATTGATATGAAAGAGTTAGAATTTCTTTTACGTTATCCATATGTACCAAATTTAACAAGTCCAGTCGATTTCTTAAATGAACAATCATGGGGTGGAGTTAAATCTTTGTCAACAATGGAAGAATTTCATAATTTAGATCGAGATATTGAAGGTACATAATATTGTTTGTTTGTTTTTTTTCTTCGTAAATAAAAATTTCCAAACTTTCTATGATTTAGGTTCGGCTAAACGATGGAAAAAATTTGTTGAGTCTGAAGCACCAGAAAAAGAAAAATTTCCACAAGAATGGAAGAGTAAAACATCATTACAAAAATTATGTATTATGAGAGCTTTAAGACCTGATCGAATGCTTTATGCATTAAGTTTATTTGTTGAAGAAAAATTAGGTCGAAAATATGTTGAAAATCGAACAATTGAATGTAACTATTTAAAAAAAAAATAAAAGAGAATTTTAACTACAAGAAAAATTATTTTTTTTAAATATTTTAGTGGCACGTTCATATGACGAAACAACTAAAGCTACTCCTATATTTTTTATTCTTTCACCTGGTGTTGATCCACTTAAAGAAGTCGAAAGTCTTGGTCGAAAAATGGGTTTTACAACTGATAATGGCAAATTCTATAATATTTCACTAGGACAAGGTTAATTTCTTTTTTATCTTTTAGTGGCACAATTTGAAAAAAATTTGTTAAAAAATTTTTAGGACAAGATGTTGTTGCTGAAAAAGCACTTGATGATGGATCACGTGATGGTCATTGGGTTGTCCTACAAAATATCCATTTAGTTGCTCGATGGTTACCACAATTAGAAAAGAAATTAGAACAAACAGCTGAAATAGCGAATGAAGAATTTCGAGTTTTTCTTTCAGCTGAACCAGCACCAGATCCAGAAGGACATGTAAAGATTTTTTTTTATCTATAAAAACTTATTTTATTAACAGAACAGTTACTAGTACGAATAACCTTTTTTTTTGTTTTGTTTTAGTGTATTCCACAAGGTATTCTTGAATCAGCTATTAAGATTACGAATGAAGCACCAACAGGTTGGGATATATTGATTTTAATTTTAAGAAATGATAACTGTATTTTTTTTTTGTAAAGGAATGTATGCAAATGTTCATAAAGCATTGGATAATTTTGATCAAGATACAATGGAACGTTGTTCAAAAGAAAATGAATTTAAATCAATTCTATTTGCTCTTTGCTATTTTCATGCTGTTGTTGCTGAACGTCGTAAATTTGGACCAATTGGATGGAATAGGTTTGTTATTTATTTCTTCACTTAGTATCTAATCATTTTTTCTTTGTTTTTTATGCAATATTAGACGATATCCGTTTAATAATGGTGATTTAACTATTAGTGTAGATGTCTTATACAATTACTTAGAAGCTAATTCAAAAGTTCCATGGGAAGATCTGCGTTATTTATTTGGTGAAATTATGTATGGTGGTCATATAACTGATGATTGGGACCGTCGTTTATGTCGAAATTATCTTGAAACATACATTAATCCAGATATGGTATAGAAAAATTTTCATGTATTTATTCTACATCTATTTTTCTTTTGTTTAGTTCGATGGTGATTTATTTTTAGCACCATCATTTCCAATCCCACCAAATAGTGATTATAAAGGTTATCATCAATATATTGATGAAAATTTACCACCAGAATCACCATATTTATATGGTCTTCATCCAAATGCTGAAATTGATTTCTTAACAACAACAAGTGAATCATTATTTAAAACAGTTTTAGAATTACAACCACGTGATGCAGGTGCTGGAGCATCTGAAAGTGGTTCAGTAGCAAGTCGAGAAGAAAAAGTAAATTATAAAAAATAGAAATAAAAATAAATTTTTCATTTTTTCTTAATTTAGATAAAAGCTGTACTTGATGATATTATGGGTCGACTACCAGATGATTTTAATATGACAGAATTATTTGCTAAAACAGAAGAAAAAACACCTTATACAGTTGTTGCTTTACAAGAATGTGAACGTATGAATATATTATTAAAAGAAATGAGACGCTCATTAAAAGAATTAGATTCTGGTTTGAAAGTAAGTTGTAGTCATAAGAGAATACGAAGATTGTATGAATAATTTTCAATTCTAAATAGGGTGAATTAACAGTTACTGCTGATATGGAAGCATTACAAGAATCTCTTTATCTTGATCAAGTACCAAAAACATGGGAACTTCGAGCTTATCCATCATTATTTTCTCTTAGTACGTGGTTTGTTGATTTACTCAATCGCTTCAAAGATCTTGAATCTTGGACAAGTGATTTTCAATTACCTTATGCTGTTACTTTAGGTAAACAAATTATTTTCATTTATATTAAGAAGAAAACTTTAATCACTTCTTTTTTCTTAGGTTATCTTTTTAATCCTCAATCATTTTTAACTGCAATCATGCAAACAACAGCACGTAAAAATGAATGGCCTCTTGATCGAATGTGTTTATCTGTTGACATAACTAAACGAACAAAAGATGAACTTGGTGGAGCACCACGTGAAGGTGCATATATATGGGGTCTTTATCTTGAAGGTGCTCGATGGGATACTCAAACATCACAATTAGCTGAAGCTAAATTAAAAGAAATAACATCAGCAATGCCAGTTATATTTGTTAAAGCTATACCAACGGATCGTATGGATACAAAAGGCATGTATGAATGTCCAGTATATAAAATCAAAACACGTGGTGCACATTTTGTCTGGACATTTTATCTTAAAACAAAAGAAAAACCAAGTAAATGGGTTCTTGGTGGTGTTGCTTTATTGTTACAAAAATAAAACAAAAGAAAAAGAAAAAAATAACTAACATTTGATTCTTTTTTTCTTGATTTTTGTTTGCCTTTTTTGCAATAATCATATTGTTTTTTTGTATATAATCAATTTCGCCTTTGAAAATTCTCAAAAGTGAGATAAAAAGTTGCCTTGGTTTTTTATATATTAATAATAATAATAATACTAAATAGTTCTTTAAATAAATATTATTATATGGATGACATTATATCCAAATAGGCAAGCAGACCATCTTTGTATAGATCAGCACCCTAAAAATAGGAAATATATGTTGTTTGACGATATACAAATAAACAGAATGATTTGATTACATATGCTCTAAGGATTTATGAAATACAAATATTTATCTTATCTAAGATTGTACACAAGTTAGTCCATGGGTACATATATATTATATTGAGTCCGGTAGAGGTCTTAATACAAATTTATTCAATTTGAGTAATAGTAGAAACTCTATCTCGATTGGTTTAAGGTTATTTTTGTCATTTTGATCGTACGATGGAACCATTCCAACTTGAAAATTGCTTTCGAGTTCGAACTCTGTGCATAAAATAGATCTCAATGAGGTCATAACCCCTTCCTTCCCCCCCCCCCCCCCCTCTCCACGCCGCCAACAGAATAAGGGCGCCTAGACCTTTGCTACAGAGTTATAGCTGTTCTACTGAAATTTTAACCCATAGCACGGCAAGTACCAAAATTATCGAATGACGATACTTTGACCCGAAATCTTATGCATAGATAGACATGCTTGTAACTGGAATGTCCTGAAAATGTTAGCTCAAAAGAATATTCTCTTTACAAGATATTGAATTGCCAAAATCACTCAAATATGACCAAACATTGAAAAACCTCATATTTTTTTTGGGAATGCGATATCCTGTGAATGGAAGATTCTTTTGAGCTGAATTTTTCACGACATTCTAGTAATAGGCAAGTCTATCTATTAGAATTTGGCGGTTTCAGTTGCTGAAAATGACAAAAAAAAGATTTCGGTTCCGTTCCTAACATATTAAGTGTAACCAAAACCTTTAAAACATTAGATAGATATGAAAGTTTTAAATATATTTTCAGAAATTTTCACTATTGAATTGTTAAGATTAAAGATACCACATATTTCAACTCTAAAATAAAACAATATCATACATATATATTGAAATCTTGTACCTATCTGATGATTTAACGGTTTCGGTTTGGTTCTCGGTGCTAGGATTTTTGAAATCGTCGAACTCTTTTGTCTATCAATGACAAAATACTTGACAATCGTATTTTTGATGGATATTTCCCTGGATAGTCAACCGTAAAAAAAACACAAAGTTCTCAGAAGGTTTTTTTTTCGTCTATAGAACTTTGTTGAGCTCGTTGCACTGATCATTTCGGTAAAAGAAATATTCAAATTTACTCAATAAATCATCGTACTAGAAGCAAATTATTCAAAAACTTTGACTGTTTCTGACTGCTACTGAGTGATAAGTGATATTTTCAAGTGTTCTGACTCTAGCACTATGATTTATTCAGTAAATTTCAAATTTTTTCACCAAAAGAACAAGGAATTCTACAAAGTTGTACAAACGAAAAAAAATCTTTTAAAAACTTGTTGTTTTCTTGCGGTTGACTACACAAGGAAATACCATTCAAAACGGATCCGCAAACATTTTGTCGTTAGTAGCATTTGTGGACTGAATTTCAGTAAAACGGGCTATAGCTCTGTAGAGAAGGCCAAAGTGGCCTCATTCTTTGAGAATTTTTATTATATCATTGAGGTTGATCTGATGCATAGAATTCGAATTGGGAAAGTTCCGTCGCTAGTTGTCGAAAGTTCTTTAGCTTGATATTTTGAAAGTCAAACAACGTTCGAAAATTACCGAAATTTCTTTATAGGTTATGTTTACACTGACACTAGTTTGAAAAAAAAATTATTTTTCTTACTTTATATTTAATCATTTCCGGTGGCCAGTTTCTAACAGCACCAGCTAACTTTTTAGCCATCGCTGGGTCATTTCGACATACATCTTCAATTTTTGTCGTATACGTTTTAATTGTAAATAAAATTGTATCTGATTTTGGTAAACGTCTTAATGTTTGCCGTTCAACACGAAGATACATTAATTGTCCTGCATTATCTTTTGTAATTAATTCATTTGAATTATATTCTATTTGAGTTTCACAGAGATTATTACCAATTTGTACTGAAAAAAAAATAAATCAATGAATAAGAAAGAAAAAACTTCACTTAAAATATACAAGTCCAATTTAAACGCTGTACAGGACTATCTTCTTTCAATTTAAGAAAATATCTATCCATTGACGTTCGTAATTTCTCTTGAAAAAATGGTACATGTGGGACATGAATTGATGCTAATGGTAAACCAAATTTCGATTTAGGTAACCATCCAGATGGAAAACAAACTGCTAATGCCTATGAAAAAAAAACATTCTTTTCTATTCATATGAAGAGTTAGGAAAAATATTAAATTACATTTGCATGATATATTTCTTTATTTGGATGTCGTTGCATAATAACAAGATCCTCTTGAATAAGAAGTGCAGCTATTTCTAATGGATGAATATGATCAGAATCTGTTAAATCAAATGTTTGTTGAGTAATCAGATTTATAATTTTTGTCTTCGAATGATTACGTTGAAACATATTTGGATAGTGATATGGAAGATATTCAATTAACATTTTTAAAACTTCAATTGACGCATCGTATGTTTCATCTTTATATATAAATAAATCATTTCGACGAGTACTATTTAATAATTCTTGTTTAAGGTGAATGTATTGCCGATAATTTGAATCAATTTGTATCCATTCATGAATATCTAATAATTGAAGCCCTGCATTGAAAATAAATGCGTATAATATGATATTAGAAATATTTTATCTTATACTCATTGTCATTTGAAATGGACCATCTTTAAATGGACGATAAATTGGTATTGACATTTGTTCTGGAGTTTTTTCTAGAATTACATTTAATATAGAAAAAGAAATTTTTTTTTATTATGAATGTGTATTACCTAGATGAGCATGAGGATTAGTTAGATCCTTTGAATCTGGTTTAAGGAAAGTAAACAACAAGTATATTACTATTAGAACGATAGTAACATAAACAAGAGCAATCATGTTAGTAACTCAGTTATTATCTGGCAGATCTACGAATAAAATAAATGTTGGTAGTACAACCTCCTGAGTATTTATCACACAGAAGAAAAAAGTACGAAAGAAAAAAGAAAATAAACATAATTTGTTTTTTTAAGATAACAGTAACTCACTTGAGAATGTTACTTATTAATGATATGAAACAGAACTAGAAATGGTATAAAATAGTATAATTTGATTAGCCAAAAGTTTTTTTTACAAATTTTAAATAAACATAGACAAATCTCATATTGAATCATATTGGTTTTCTGTATGTTTTTTCGTTTAGTTAAGTTTCTTGCTAACATGTCATCGTTGTACTAATCAAGGTTAAAATTTACGAAATTTATTGAAATCATAGATCTGAATTTTCTTTTTAGAAAGGACTGGAGTGTACATGGGCGCATTTCAGCGTTTTTTTTTCATTTTCAAGATCCTACCTAATCGAATCATATGTAGCGTGAAAGCTTCTGAACTCCCATCATTCTGAACCAATTGTAGCCGTAAGCAGAACCTATCTTTGCTACAGAGTATAACAGCAGCAGCTGGTTATCGTCACCAGCCAGCAATGTAAGTACTTATGTGACAGGAAAAAAGTGAAGAATGATTCATATTTATTTTAATAGTTTTTTCTTCTGCCTATAATTTCATAATATAACCAAGCATTTAAAATAGTTCTTTTGAAACTACTACACCGTATGATAATCATCGCTTTCTTGCAATTAGGATTTGAAGTACTCATGTGCATTCCGTTCGTTGTTTAATTATTTTATTAATGAAAGTTCCTATCCAATTAGCTCATATAGTACTTGGTAGAACTTTTCAAGCGGTAGAAAATTAACTACTTTTTACAGTCTAAGAAAAGTAGGTCACATAAAAAGATATGTTACGTCTTCTATTCTTGAGGCTCGATTTGAAACTTTATCTACTAACATTTGACCATTTTCGAACAGAATAACACCCATTTTACTTTAGACAAATAGTATATTGGAAATCAGTCAAAAAAAAACAAGTCGACTTATGTATAATTCAAACGCTTTCTGAGACTTCTTCGCTGATGAAAATGTTCACCGCTGGATCCCGTCGCGGATGTGTGGAAAAATGAATTTAATCAAAACAATTAATTTATCGTTTAGTCGCTTGTCTTTTTGTCCTTAAACAGCATTTTACAAGTTGAGAACTTATTTTCCATTGCTGTAATTGACGTTTGAATAAAATTTATTATTTCACAGATCCCTGATGAGATTTTCATGACTCCAATTGATAAGAGAAAAAGTTCGCAGAAGAAATTTGAAATGTACATAAATCGATCCATGCTTTTGGACTGATTTCAAGTACGATATTTTTTTCTTTGGAGTGAAATGGGTATTATTCTGCCTGTAAACTGTCAAATATTAATCGAAAAAATCAAAAACTGAGCGTCGAGAATAGTAAACTCAGAACATTTTTTATATAGCCTACTTTTTTTGTACCGCAAAAAGTGGTTCATTTCGTACCGCTTGAAAAGATCCATCTAATATAACGTAAGTTAAGTGTGCCGGAAGTTTCATCAAAACAATAATTAAACGACAAATGGAATGCATATCAGCATGTCAGATTCTAAATGCAAGCAATGGAACGTTTTTACACTATAGAGTAGATTCAAAATATCATTGTAAGCAACTACTACTATTTTGAAAATATTGCTTGAACAAAGGGTTATCAAAATAAATTTGAATCATTCTTCACCTTTATTTTTTTTCTATCAAACGAATACTCACATTGCTAGCTTTTATCAATAACTAATTGCCCTTTTTTTTGGTTTACTATGGAATGAAAGGTAGATTCTGTCCGCAGCTATAATTGATTCAAAAAGATCAGATGCTCTTGATATTTTATTCTATAGATGACTCAATAAGATAAGACTTTGAAGATCAAAAGCGACCGAAATATGTTCCTGCTTTTTCGTCCCTTTAATTTTTTATCGACAGATAGAAGATAGTGATTATAATCTATCTAAACAGCTCTGTGTCAAGAAAAATAATACTTTACAACCATAATATTTATTCATGAATTTTTAGCTTCTATTAAATTCTTACTTAGTCCTTTATATATTCTAGTGTATTTCTTTGATTTTTTGATGAGCTTACTTGTAAATTTTTAACAATTATATTCATCAACTGTTGATAACTTGTAATAAAAAGATCAACAAAAGTATAAATAACCTGTATGTAAAAATCTTTGAACAGCATATCTAGTTAGTTTTCATCTACTTGTAAATCACTAGAGTGAATTACAAGGGATCAGCTAGAATTATATTTTCATGCTCTTTTCTAATTTTATAATAAGAATTTAATTTCTGCTTTCAAGTTAATTCATTGTCGAGTAAACCTTTGACGAAGGTCAAAGAATGGCGCATATACAAAAATTTCTTATGTAGATCTGTTTTATATTTGAACAAAAACTATGTCAATTCAAACTAGAAGAAAGACTTACTCTGCAAAGTACCTAATTCGTTTTTCTTCTTAGATATTGCTACAAATGATCAAAATGTATTACATTCTAAATACTGAAATTCTAAAGAAATGATTTTTTTTGAGAAAAGCCATTTTACGTTAAGCGTAATCGTTCGAAAATCGTATATAGAGTTTGATACTTTTTGAGTTCTGGCTTATGGTAATGTATGATTTAGTAGTAAAGAAAATGCTATACAATATTAAAAAGTCAAAACTATTCTAAAATCTCATTCAGAAAAATTATGAGTAATAGAAAAAAAGTCTATTATGCTGAGTGTCAACAACATTTTTGTTCTATTTATATATTTACACATAGCTAACCAACTGTAAGTCAGTGAAAAATTCTAAATATCCATTTGAAAAGATTACTAAATTCTGGTTTTAGTTGACAGCTTCTTCGCTTCTTCATTGATATTAAGATCTCCAAAATTATCAATACCTTTTAAATTAGTGTTTTGTACAAACGTTGGTTTTGGCTGCTATCAAATTTTTGTTCTCAGTAAAGTATCTTTAAGCCAAAAAAAAAGAATTTTTAACATATAATTAAAGACAGTTTGAAATTCTGCTTCTAGGTGATTACTTTTGAGTCTCTTTAGTGACTTATTCTAAAGACAAAAAATTGATCAGACATCTTGTGCAAAGATTTTGTATACGTAGGTTAATAAACTTACAAGTTCTTTAAATAGAAATATAAATGTATGTAGAAAAACTGAGTAGATTAACATCAAATCAGAATTACAGAATAATCCTATATCGAAGAACTATTATATGAAAAATTTTCGTTTTTTCTATGTCTTTAAAAACAGATATTTTCAGACATGAACTAGAACAAGCTATTCATAATGCAATATTCTTTATTATTCAAAAAAAAAATACATTCGAATAAAGAAAAGAAAAAGGCAAACTGAATATAATAAAATGGAATAAAATGGACGGATTATTGAAGACTAAAAAGACATTCTCAAAACAAATGTGAATATGTGCGTCCTTTCGTATCATGAACGTTCTTGTCTTGTATACGCCTAAAACGGTCTTGTTCTCGATTGGCTTTTAATTTTTGATTAATTATATATTCAGATTCTTGTCCACATTCTGTCATACGTAAATCAAAATATAATAATGTACTATTATCTTGTAAACCTTCTTGTAATGATTTACCAATATCACCACCCAAACGATTAGCACTCATGTCAATTTTTAATAAACTTTTATTTCGATTAAGTATTTCGGCTAATTTATTTCCTGTTGGTTCAGAAAGATTATTTGATGATAAATTTAATTCACGTAATGATTGATTTATTAATAATGCCAAACAAATAGCTTGACCACCTTCATCACCAATACGATTTAAACGTAGATTTAAATATTCAATGGTCGCTGATTTTGTAATACCATATGCAATGGCCTGTGCACCTTGAATTAATAAATACTAATTTTGTTTCGTTTTTTCTCTCTTAAAACACTTACCTTGTGGACCTACAAGATTGTTGCATAAATTCAATCGAAGTAATTTTGAATGTCCATTAAGTAACTTAGCAATAGCTCGACATCCACCTATGAATAAAAACCAATGATTTTGATTATGATGAAAAGAAAACACATCTTTTTTTAAACTTACGATCACTAATTTGATTATGTTCAAGATTAAGTTCTGCTAATGTTGGATGATCAAGTAAGCCATCTCTTATTAACATTCTTATTTTGAGATCATCCACTTTACTTCTATGTAAATGTAGAACTCGTAATGTTTTACATTGTTGTACACATTTCGCTAATATTTGACAATCTTTTTTTGTAAATTCAAACATATTCCAATCAAAATTCATTCCACAACCTTTAACACCATAAACTAAATGAAGTTCTTCTAAGTTTGGTAAACTTTTAATAAGATCTGTAAAATCAAAATGATCACACAATGGTTTTTTAAGTTCAGCATCACGACCATCATTTAATTCATTTTCTTCATCATCATCAAAAAAATCATCTTCATTTTGTAAAATTTTATCTTGCATTTCAACTGGTGGTAAAAGTTGTTTTATATCAAGTCGTTTAACATATTGTGCTCCTGAAAAAAGTTAATACACATTTATGTAAAACACGATCTAAAAGGAATGTTGAAGTATAGGAATAAGAATTTGGACCCTTCCCATCCAGACGTTAGTCAGAAGCCATCACAAACTCTGATAGAGATTAACAGACGATCAAAGACCATACGTGAATAACATCTCGTTATAATATATGAACTACTTTTTTATTGCATTTACGAAGGATTCAGTAAAATGATAGTGAAGAAATGTCTCCGAAAATAGA